AACATAAGCAAGAACATCTCCACAAGTTATCACAGTGTAACAGAGGAAAACATGTCAGCCAATTTCATACAAAGGCAAATCTAATGGCAGTTTTGAACATCTGTTGACTGCTACCCTCAAAAATTGCACATTTCAATAGAAGAAATAATTTAGAATGAAGCCAAGCTATGTTCTTAACTATCAGTACATTGACAATTAGGATGGATGATGGGGTTTGTTTTCTTTTTTTAGCTTAGTAGATTTTTCCAAAGAGAGTTGTTCCAAAAGTTTGTGCAATAAATGTTAATTTGCAGTGTTATCAGGCCAAGTCCTCTTCTGCTATTCAGATAGACCTGTCAACACTACAGAAGTCTCTGTAGTCAAATACAAATCCCAGTGAAGAACTATTAAACAAAGACCATACCTTAAGCATTTACTGATGACATGCAATGAAACCAAGCAAGCAGTAATGGGACTCCATTTCTGTCAGGAGCATTCTGAAAGAAACTGCTGCAGTTCAGCTGGGGTACAGGACTGGAGTTTCACAGAACACTTGAGAGGAGTTAACACTCTCTCCCACCTGATGTGCAAAGTAACAGTTTCCAAATAATGCATCTAAGTCATTCTTTGCATAAACAGAACGCTAAGAGTGGAACTGATTTTCAGAGATGCTGAACACTTGCAAACTCACATCAAGAAAATACACAGGTACATCTGGCAGTGATTGGTAACTTTGTTTTCCTGTATACCCATATTCAGAAAAACAATTCTAAAAAGAACTTTTTGATCACAGTAAAACAAATTGTTCCCCAGTGCTTTTCACCTCCCTATAGGTTATGAAGGGCTTACCTTCTATTGCCTTTCCTAAGAACAAACATTTTTGGTTTAACATATATCAACCTGGCTCGGGTCTAAGTCATCTGATGAAGGGCACACACCAGAACTATGGAATTATACGGAGAAAGCACAGTCCTGATGCTCTCGAGTGTTTGGGTGCTTCTATTTCCTTTTTGCAGGTTATATTAATCTCATGAGGACAAGTAAGAACAACACACAAGCTTTGCTCTGGAGATGCATGGTAAGTGTGCATCAGTTCTGGAAGAGATCAGCTCTGCAAGTCTGTACATGGGAAAAAAATAATAAAAAGTTGTCAAAAATACCAGCTCTGTCTCCAACCGTACAAATTAAAGCAGCAGACCTGTGTTCATGCACACAGTAAGTCAAATGGAAATCAAGATACCCAAGAAGTCACCCTGCAGGAATGATCTCTGTAACTGCAAGTTTCTGGTGACTTCCTACACTTCCTCCTTTGCCCTCTTAGCTTGATGGAGGAGCTGTCAAGTACTCAGCAAGGAAACATTTAGCAAGGAAATACGGACATCACTGGCACTGAGTTTCTGTGAAGACATCAGTCAGCATTTTAGAGATGGCAGGGAGAGAGAACAGAGAATACTTCAGCAGGGAATTACACTGCTACCACTGAATTCTCTTAATGAGCAACAAGAAGTTTGGCCTGAGGCAGAGGAAAGGTTAATGGATATGACTTTGTTTCCTTCTTCCCAAAAAACTCAGTCTCAGTGTTTTTCAACAGTCTCAGACTCTGAATTCCAGGAAATTGTATTTCAGAACAAATCAAAAAATAGCCCTGAGACTAAACATACTTTATAAGAGCTGCTATTGCTTTACGTAAATCAAACACAGCAATCGTTTACTGCCACAGTAGGCAATATTTAATTTTCACTCCCTTTTTTGCTCACTTGGGATACATACCTGAAACCAAGAATTTCTTTCCAAGATATATGTACTTAAGCACCGTCTCTTACTTTACCAAGTACTTAAATGCTACAGGATTATGGCACCAAGCAAGGAAAGAATAGCTGATGCAGGTCAAACTTTACCAAAGGAGCCCTCTTCTCCTGTGCCTTGAGTTTTTGAAAAAACAATTCTAATAATCACAACTGTCACCATGGACTTTGTTACAATGCACTCCTTCCCTGTGATTTAAGTAGAATTTACAACTGGAGTAACAGCATTTACCATATCTCAAAATCAACAGCCGGTGTTATTGAACACAACCACCAGCCTTTAAGTGTGGCTAGAAGTGTAGCACACCAAGAAAACAAGAATATCAAATGTATCAAGTTGTGCATAAAAACAGACCTTTACTTTTTCTTAAGCTACAAAGTAGGCAATCGGGGAACTGACTAGGTCTATGCATAGTTAGGATTTTAAGTAAGCCAAAAGAATTTGAACTCTTTCAGTAAAACTGTGCTTGTGTAATGCACAGGTCAGCTCCCTCCAAAAATGAACATCCCACTCTATACATAAAAGAATTTTTAAAAAGCTCCATGCACTCTCAAAGCTATTTGCAAATCAATTTAAATATTTCAGCTAACAGCTATGCTATGGCACAAGACAGCACATAAAAAATTTAAGGCTAATTTTTGTCTGCACACATCAAAGCTGGTCTCAGAACAAGAGCTGTCATATTTTTTTAACTCTGAGTCTTTAGTGTGGATTCGTAATAAACTTGAGCTGCCACAGCAATAGTAGAGTTGTCCTGCATATAAAAAAGACTGAATGTTGTCCTGAATGCTGTTCTTTTATAAAAAGCAAAAACTTCACACATTTACATTTGGTTTTTATCAGAGCAGCTCACTAATTTGTACAGTACATTGTCCAATAACATACAAGGTAAACTACCAGAGAGATACTCAAGTCCTACAACAACAGGTGCAAATAAAGTCCTACGGTAAGAAAGCCCACTGCTGTTTGGGAGAGTCACAATGTGATGAAAACAAACATCAGAATGCATTTTGGTGAAGTCAGTTAAGTGTCAAGGCTGTAATAAAGGCTATTTGTTAACTTGAGCCCTTCTTAATGGTTCTTAACCATTCAGTTAAGATCTCCTAATAAAGCACTAGGCAGTTTGGCCACAATGAAGTTCTTTACATGCTACTGTTACAGAAATAGAAAACAGACTTAAAAGCACTTCCTTCACCTGAATATGATCCGGATCAGTCGCACCAGGTTTAAACAAACCTATCTAAAGCAGTACATTTTAGACTTCAAATTGCACTGTAGTGTTTCAGAAGAAACAAATTATTATCCACAAAGCCTAGAAAAGAACTATCAGCTGGCAAAATTACACAAGTTTGATGCACAAATCTGCTTATTTTTAAAGCTCTGTTCCTCAACAACTCCAGGTGACTGGCAATGTCAGTGCAAATCAAAGCTGTTACTTCAAAACAATCCTGTCCATTTTCATGGGAAGATGGATAGAGTAAGCCAAATTATGCTTGTCTGCTAATTTAACAGGTGAAATACTTTCATACCTCCTGGTACAATTTTAATTTACTGATTTTTTTTGCATAACATTTTAAAAATACTATAAATAGAGAACTTGCACATTCTAGCATGATTTACACTTACTTGCTGAACGAAGTACACTGCAGTCATAGTTACTAATACAGGACATAAAGGAACAGCAAATATGCATCAAAATTATGATGATTATCTGCACACATATGCAACGTTTTTTTCCCTAAATCAAAATGTTTGTAAGCAAACTCATCATATTAAGCACTGAACAAGACTGTTATATTTGCAGTATCATCGTGAAATAGTTGCCATTATGAGGAGACCTGAGAATACAACTGATCCATGGAAACTATGTCGATGGAAGTTGTGTATATGCAAGCCAGTGAGACCTGCTTGCATGTAACAGACCAATATTCAGACCCAGAGACTGTCCACAATGACATTTACTTTGAAATTACTGAATCTAACTCTGTTAAAGAGGTACAAGATCAATTTGTTTTATAAGTGACTATGACACTGGTACTCAGGTCATTGGAGCTTTCTGCACATCTATAATTGTATTAACTTAAACCCAAGTAATGCACTCCAGGAACACATGAGAAACCTCAGTGAAGTTCCTGAACAGTTTCTGTTTGCAGTTGCCTTCCCCCCCCCCCCCCCATTTTTGCCTTTCATTGTAATTTCAAAGCAACCATTAACTGCCACATTAGCAGGACAAACCAAGTATCAAAAGATCCTGTTCTACATGCCACCTAAGCTGCTAGTCAAAAAGAGAGAACACATCTGCTGCTGTAAACTTCTGCATAACAGATATCATGCCTGACAAACCATCACCTTCAACGGACACACAAACACCACTATGACAAAAGGGAGGAAACCATGCACAGGTATTTCAGTATTATGTGGCCAGGGTCTATAATACAGTGATGAGTCACGTCAGAGCAAATTTGTACCAAGAGTGATTAATGATTCAGGCTGACTCATAAGGATCTAAGCAAGCCTGTAAGAGCCAAGTATTTTCTGGAAGAAAGCATACTGCGTAAGAGGATAAGGTTTTTCCCCTACATCTGCACAAAAATTCTATGGACGAATAGAACAATAGCAGGGCAAGTGCTTTAAAATGCAATTTTCCAGCCAATAAACCAATACTAGTAGGAATTCTGTGAAGGAAGGAATTTTAAGAATATGACTTACCAGAAGCACAAATTTTTGATATCAAAAAATTTACACAATACACTAACACTGTTTTTGCATACTCTTCTTTTTAAAAGTTTCAAATGTATTAACTTGTTTTGCTTTTTTTAGGTCTGAGGCTGTTCAGCAAGGTCATATAATTTGAGACTGCTGCAATAGTTCAGCAATCCTTTGGTCCCATGAGCTGTAAGCCAGCCAAGTATAAAAAATCCTTCCCTACCAAAGGAAAAAAAAAAAACAGGGTAGGGGGATCATCACCAGGAAACACCATCTGCTATAAAGCAGAAAGGCAAAATTTTGTTACAAAATACACATTTTCATACAAAAGACATCTTGCAAAACCATCTGATTGCCCCTCCCTCTGCAGATTACAATGGTAAATGGGATCAGCTGGCTGGTCTTGAGACTTGTTTTAGTGGGGAAAAAAAAGTCAGAGGACACACACCATCACAACTGGTCCTTTTTAAATGGGAAAGGATTATGATAGTCTTTGTTTTCACCAGTGTTTAAAAAAAGCAGAAGAGAAACAGAACCAGAGTTTTCCAAAGCAGGAAGTACAACAGCATATCAGCTGCTGCATCCTCCTGAACTTCTCAATGTGCTACAAACTGTCAATTATACAAACAGTTTTGATTATGGCAGTGCCATAAATTGTTAAAACAATGCATGTGTGTGATGAGAAAGGTCCGGTCAACTGGTTCCATTTTTTTCCCAGTAGTTGCCCAGAAAAATGTCAAGACAATCTAAATTATTCTTCAGCTTCCTCAATACATCCTGACTGCTGGAGCAGAGAGGTCTGTGGCATTACTGTACTTGTTCCACGAGAGATTCTGTCTTGATCTGTGCTTGTAGTCAAGGAGGCCATAGAAATGGGCTGTAACAAACCAGGTGTCATGCTGGAAGAGACAGTCAGGCTGTGTGTAGTGCCCTTAAGTGTGAGATCCTGTGTGGGAAGAAGTGGCTTGAGGATGCTGACAAGACAGAAAGCAGAGCCACTTTTCGGAATGAAATTCACTTTGTTCTTGTCAGGGCAATAGAAGGCTGGAATTTCGTGCAACGGTTTTGGCCTAGAAATAAAATACACACACAATAGTTTTATGGAACAATCAAATTCTGCCAATGGCAGGGATGTATTGCTGAGCACATCATCAGAAACAAGTCGAGGTTTCAATGTGAAGTATTTCAGCTACTCAATAATGCCTTAATGACACTCACAGCACACAGCAAATGACAAGATGGTTTAAACTGCTTGTTTAAAAGTGCTGCAACTAACAGCATGTTCTTAGGGCAGGCTGTTTCCAAACCAACTTCATGCTTGATCACAAACCCTATCCATGAATTAGCACATTCATTATATGAGAAAGTATTTTCAATCATTTTCTCCAGAAACTTTCACAACCCAACTAGTTCTGCCCCACATACAGACACTATTTATACAACAAGCCCTGTGAAAGAAAGCTGGCATAGCAATGATCCTAATACTGCATATCTCAAAGGAGTTCATAATCATCTGGGGTTCCCCTTTTCTATACTTTTGCCTTCTTTGCATGTTCACATGAGTGTGCCCTGACTCTCTGCACAAGATGACCCCAATCTTACTAAAAAACTCAATGCAGAGAGTAAAATGTAGTTTTCCTCATCAAGTACCTCTAATCTAGGAAGGAAGTGTGAACACAAATTTAGATCCTGACTTGCAATTTTGCCATCTCAGCACAGAACTCAGCCCAAGACATGCTTTAAGAAAAATAGAGCTGAAATGGAAATCATGGATAGCTTAGGAATGCCTTCTGTGCTCTAACGCTGCAATGCAAATCTACTTACAGTAGCCAAAGTCTACTTCAAGACAGAACTATAGAAATCTGCTTTAAATTCTCTCTTTACTGCTTGAAAATAGCCACCAGAAACTTTTATTCACTTTTTGTTGTTGCCAGCATTGTCCTTTAGCCTATAACCTCTCCCTCCCTTCCTTGTGTTTGTAAAAGCCATGTTCACTTCTTTGTTTTACTAAGCCAAGCAAGCCAATCTTCCATTGTATTTTTGTAGAGATAGTTTATTGTGAAAAGAAATCCTGCTCATAAGATAGGGTACATTTCCATGCTAGTTGATTCTCACCAGCGTCCAGAAAATACAACCCCACTTGTAAATTTTCTTCCCAAATGAAAATCCTGTATAGGATTTTCAAATAGAAATTCCATTAAACAAAGGTTGAGCTTTAAATAGTTACACTCATGTATTCCACATAGACATGGAATTCAAGTAACAGATGTGAAAAGATGTTTTTTCATCAGACCTCAGTCCATCAGTGTCTGAGGACTGCTATGGCTAAGTAGAAACTTCTGCAGAAGCTTTTTTCACTCTACAGCAGAGCAGTCCTACAGTTATGCAGAGAGGACTTCCGAAAAGAAATGCAAACGTGAGTCAAACTGCAATAGAGTATGTTCCTGTAGCAAGTGAATATTAACTACCTGTCAGTGATATAGTTTACAATGTAATACAGACAGGTAACTTCACTTACTGTAACCCTTCCCACATTGCCATGGAACAGGCTGTAGAGACCTCTCAAAATCCATTTGCACAGGTGAGCCAAGCTCATTTTATTTTTAACTAACATCTATACTAGATGGCATTCTTGAGATAATATAAGAGAATTGTAACCAATCTATACTCCTTGTATACTCCATGTGACAAGATGGAATTTTTAACTGTAGTTTAAGATTCTAGTATACAAGTGACATAAGGGTATAAAAACTACTCTGAAATAATAATAAAACATAACCTCCTAGAATATTCCCAAATCACAAAAGTTGGCTTTTCCAGAATAATCAAAGCATCAAATACTCAGGATCAAGTTCACTCTCCTGTCACTAGAAGTTTCACGACTACATTGATTTAGCTGAAAAGAATATGGTCTTCAGAGTCTAGATTACTGGATGTGCCTGTCAAGCTGTGACATAAATTCACTGATGTTACAGCCTGTTATTACCTCTCCCCCTATCTGATTATTTGAGTTCTTCTCCCACTATCTGCCAGGTAAGAGACTCCTCTCAAATTATGCTGGTTTTTAAAAAACATCACCCAAGATTTGAACACTAAATTTCAGCAGTAAAATATATTCGGATATGCCAATATATAGTCACACCAAAAAAAAGAGATCAGGCTGTTAGCATGGCTTTAGCAACTGGACTAATAACTTCTATCTGACACAAAATCAATAAAGCAAAAATTAATCTGATTCTTAGATGTTATTTCTTAGGTAGCAAAAACCAACTTACAAGTTTTCCTCAAAGACTTTCACCTTTTCACAGCCCTCAGGAGGTTCACGCTTGAACATGTAGCTGTTGTTGGGTTTTGGTGAGGTAGCGTATTTTGGCAAGGGAGAATTATTCCCATTTTCTGCAGGAAGAGAGTTACTCATTATATAAATGTGACACACTATAAAAAACCACAAGAACTACCTTTAAATGCCCCCTGAATTTAAAGCCACTTCATTACCAATGTTATGAAATTCAAAAACATTTCATTTGCCTTCAAAGCCTTCATTTGCACATAAGCTTTCTTATCTCAATTTCTTTCCTTCTTTCTGTTTCCTCTTATAACATTTTCAGGCTCGTCTGCAACATCTGGTCATTCCTGGACATTTTCAGTTTTTAACTGCAAACTTAAATCTATGGTTCTGTACTGTCACCATCTACCCAAAAGAAATGGGCAGAAGCCATATTCTTTAAAAAACAGAACAGGTTTATGTTGAATTATAAAATTCTCATAGGATCTCTCAAAAGATTCCAGATAAAAAATAAACCCTAAACACTTAAACTTTCATGGGTATGTCTATGAAATGCTATAAGGTTGCAGATTTTGACCAAGATCATAAAAAGTACCCAACACAAGCAACAGGACTACTGTGCTATTTGACCTGATACTGTATATTCTTGCTTCTTCAACCTGCTTAAAATACTCAAATAATCTATTATTTAAAAGAAAAGCTTTTTGGGAAGCACATTCCTCAGTCACATCTATCCAGTTTTAATTAATATGTGTGCACACATATGGAGCATTTAGAAAAAACCTGGTCATGTACAAAAACACATACAAAAAAGCCCACTTTCTACCATTCCTCCATGGGTGCAGGGAACAAACCCTCTCTTTTACTGATGTAGTTACTGTAACTACTGTACTGTAGTTATGTAGCACATTGCACAAGTTCAGCATTGTTGAACTTCTGAAGTGACACAGTACCTTTATCTCTGGAATCACCGAGCAGATCATCTGCAGAACACGGGCTTTCCTCACTGCCTTCATTACAGATGGTGAGAAAGGAGCTTGGAGACACGGACTGGGAGCGGCTGCTGTTGTTGCTGCCCTTGTCTGCTCCACCGGGCGTTTGGGTGTCAATGCTGCGGGTGCTGCTGCTGCGCTGCGCCAGCGGAGGCGGGGCACGGTGCCCGTCTGGAATATCTTGAGGCTGTCAGAATTAAAGGTATCAGACAGCTGCTCTTGTCTGGATAGCAATTGCTTTAAATTCAGTAATTGTGAGGGTCTTTTTGGGTTTTATGAAACCATTTGAGGAATGAAATTTTATTCGTTACATGCAACTTCAAAATAAACTAAAATGTCAGGTTCAGAAACTAAGGACAACAATTTGTAAGATTTCTCATCATCACAGAATTCCTGAGGCTGGAAGGAACCTCTTGAGATTATCAAGTTTAACATCTCTGCTCAAGCAGACTCAGTGTATCCAGGACTCTGTCCAGTCAAGTCTTTAATATCTCCACAGACAATGATTCCACAACTTCTCTGGGCAACTTGCTCTGGGCTTTACACACCTTCACACATTAAAAAAAATGCAAACAAACAAAACCCTAACATTTTTAAATTTATGCCTACTGCTCCTTTCCCTATCACTGGGCATCACTAAAAAGAGACCAGCTCCCTCCATTTCTGCACATGAGATGTTTATATACATTGATAAGATCCCTGGAGCTGTCTCTCCTCAAGGCTGAACACTCCCATCTCTCTCAGCTTCTCTTCATATCAAAGACATTCTGGTTCCTTAATCATCTTCACAGTCTGTATTTCTGATACCTTAGTACTAAATTACCTCTAAAAACCATTAAAATAAAGTGAACATTAAAAATGGGCAAATTATTGTTCACCTAACATGGGGATACTTCAGCATGGGCAAAAAAAAAATTAATACCAAAAAAACTCTCAAAAGAGACATTTTGCTTTTCCCTGTTTTACTGAGATTTCTTATTTAGAGGAAAAGGTTCAGATTCAAGCTTTAACTCTTTCATTCCTTTAGCTTTCCAAGAGACTTTTCAACTTAACCTTATTAAAGAAAATAATAAATAAAAATATAAATAAAATTAATTCCATACAAATTTAATTCAAAAACAGTGCAAAAAAAAGTTTATGATCTCAAAGCAAAACAAAAATAATTATATAGAGCAAAGATGGTAGCAGATACATACAACAAGTTGTTCCTCCTTGTCTCCTGTCTCCTTAATTATTATCTCAATCTCTTGATTCAATCCTTCTACACTGTTCCGGAACCGTGACCCCGTTGATTTGGTAATAGGTATCACAGGAACAAGAGCACTCTTTGGGATGTGAGCCTAAAGAACCAATAAGAAAACAATGTAGATTTATAGACAGAGACAGTAAGAAAACAATGTAGATTTATATACAAAACAAAGTTACTATTTCTACCCAAAACAACTTAGGGAGAATTCCACATAAAGAATAAAATCCCAAACCCAAATGTTAATATTTAGTTGCTTAAGAAGGAAGATTAACAGTTTAAAAATCCAGTGTTTCAAAATATGCACAAAAATTTCATTCTCAGAAAACACATTACTGAAATTTCCCAGAGCTCCCTTTGGCACACTACAACTTCTTGAGATTTCCCCAGTCTCTCCACTAGCATCTGCCCTCCTGTTAAAGAAGTCTCCCTGCCAGAATATTAGAAGATTCTGTACTCATTAAGCAGTGGTATACACCAGGTAATGTAATACTTTCTGCAAAAATTCAGTTCAACTCAAAGAACAGCACAACACACTTAAGTCACAGTAAAATTCCCATGTAGAATTCCTGAACTCTGTGGCCTAGTGTGCCATGATTGAGAGCAACTCCTCTAATGCATGAAGGACCAGCATTATCTGGTCTTCAGAATCTATTTTTGTGAGGGAGTTTTATTTTAATTTTTCCTTTAAGTAACAAGACTACACAGACAGAACGAAAGCATTTTAATTTCCTGTGTACATTCTCAAAAACCACACAAAGCTTGTCTGGCAGAAAATCTACCTCAGAAAAATTAATGTACACAAGACATTTTCATCACAGACCGTAGTGGAGATTTCTTGTAACAATCACAAATCTCTACAGCAGCAGAACTCATGAATTATATTGGTTCTATTTTCCTGAAACATTAGGTTAGCCATAAAAAAACCCCAAAACCAAACATCTTAAAAAAGACTTGCACAAGAACTACAAAAGCTTCTGTTCAGGAAATGCTTGTCACTCTGTTTCTGTCAACAAAAATGAGACAGTCTCATAATGGCCAAACTTGTAAAGAGTTTCTAAAGTCTTGCCTGAAGATGAAAAAAACCACTGGAGAAGAGCACAAAAAAGTCTGAGAAAGCAACCCTGCTAATTCTGTTCCAAGCAAGGCCTTGGATCAACAATCCAGTTAAACTAACACAGGTTGATATTCAGTAACAATATGGATATATCAGCACACATTCAGGAACTAAAGGCTGTTTATGCACCCAGTTATTCAACATACACATTCTTAGGACAAACCGAGCTTGTTAAAAAAGAGAACACAAGTATGCTTTAAGATTTCAGCAGCCATTAGCAAAATGTGGGAATTCTTCACCTTTAAATATGATTGCCTACCACAAAAATTCTTGGGTTCATGCTAGTATTTGAAGAGCTCAAAGTAAATTCAGTAGAGTTCGATATAGTTCAGTACAGCATGTCTCACTTCCAAGAAAAATAATATTCTGTACCTGACTGAGGATGATTTCTTAGCCCAGGGTGCTAGAGGGTGGAAAAGGAAGGAGGTATTGTGACATGGGTGGAACAATCAGCCTCAAAACAAGAAACTTTATTACAAATACTGCCTTCACAGAGGTCTGCATGGACACGCAGGAACAGGCCACCAGCTCTGGACTACTTATCCAAATACCCGGAATGCTCACAAGGAGGCAAGGTGCCAAGAACAGGATAATAATGACTGTGCTCACACAGTAACACACTGGCACAGAGTTTTCAGTTCTGAGACTTACAGGTATGGCATACACCCATGAGGTAGGAAAAAAGGGTGATGACAAATCTAAATTGTTCACAGGCATTTCAGGAAAAACGCTCTAAGCTCTTCCAATTTTTCACAAGTAACAAAACTTTAAACAGAATCCCAGGGCTTGTGATGCTTTTGCATCAAGCCACCTCTAGGCTGAATGTATCATGGTAATTCTACTCAAAAAATGAAATGTTCCACCTGGTAAGCTAGTGACACCAAAAAAACCCAAGCCCCCAACACTGTGAACTGCATGCAGTTGATCTCAGTATCAATCAATTGGTCAGACATTGGGACACAGGGTTGCTAGGAAAATGAAAGGAGCAGGGGCCTTGATGGTTCAGAGTGCCATGTAAAAATGTAATATCAGCCAAGTGCACTGAGGAAAAAACCATTATGTTGGGAAAAAATAATCCATTTATTCTTCCATCTGTTTTCAGTTCTGGCCTCAATTCTTGTTTCTTCCTTATACCAACACTGAGAATATAAAAAGATCCCATTGCTTTGACTCCTGTTCACAGATTTAGTACCATGCAATTAACTCAAAATGTTCTCAGAAGCATCCTGACATCACCTGAATAGGCTATGACCTTTCTGCAAACTCCTCTTCCAGTTAAAGAGAGACAAAGGAACATTTCCTAAGTAACGAAAAAACCACACAAACAAAAAAACTACCATTCGTTCTGAAAAAAAGTCAACGAGTCCTTGCTGTAGTCAACAGCAAGGACTTGATCCTCCTCAACTATTTCCTGATTGTGAGCAGAGGGTCAGGAACAGCCAACAAGCTTATTCTACAGAGATTGTGTGGATTTCTTTCTTCACACAAAAATAATATTAGAAAGAAGCACAAATAAACAACCAATCAGAAGCTTAGCTAGCAAGAATCGCTAAAAATTTTGCTATAATTCAAGAATTGCAGTAAAGTTTAAGTAGGGAAAAAAAGAGGAAATAAATCCACTGAAATTTCTTCTTTTAACTAGAAAAGAATTCCATTTTCCAAATGTTAAACAGAGTTTACCTGGTCTCTGTAAAGGAACTACTGACACCATTTCCTAATACATTTTCTCACCTTGTCAGGAATCCAACTCCTTGAGCTCAGAAATCTTTACATGACCCTTTAGAGTCAACAAACACAAAAGTTTCCTTCAAGCTAGGAATGTAAAAAAATAATTTCTAAATATTCTAATGACTAAATTCTGGTTTCCACACAGTCCTTCCCACAAATCCTGAAGGAACAGAGCTGCTGCCAAAAATTCTAGTTTAGGAGTTCTCAAAAAAATAATGAGAAAACACAGGAACTTTGCCCTTTATGACTACAGTTACAGATTTTCACTGAGTTAAAAAACAGCTGCTAAATGCCATTAATCTAAACGCTTCACTTACTCTTTGAATCCTTCTTTAACTTCTTGCCTTTGCAAGTAGCTTGACACAGCTGGCACAAAATTCACCAAGAAAAACAATGTTTTGTTTTGTAACACAGTCCTGGAAAAGCTGCTTGGCTTCAATTTATATTTTATAGTTTGTTTCACAAGCCCAAAAACTAATTATCCATTGCACAATATTTTATTCATGTACTATAACATTTGGCAGAATGTAAAGACATCCATACCAGAAACAAAATAATAAAATTAGTACATTTAAAAAGTTATATACATAATTTAGGGAGGTATTTTTCAGAACAGCATCATTGTTGTTCACTTTTGAAATTAAAACTCACTAAGATCATCTGTGCTAGAGTGGCAATACCTCAGCATTCAGATAACCACAGGTTTGTAGAATGCCAAGCAAGCCTTTTAAAATGCATGTAATTCTCCAGTGTACTAAAGGGCCCACATCAAAAGTCCTTCAGTATACTTTTTGGTTGAAAATGTCCTCAAGTTCTACAAATTCAGAGAAAACACCTTAATCAAGTATGCTACTCTGTCTTTTGTTTTGGTTTGGTTTTTTTAACCAAAAGTTTGACGCATTTTGTATGTTGACTTTCATGAACTTTCTCAAAACCCCCTAGAAAGGGATTGGGGGTCAGCTGTCTTTCTTCGTTCATAATTTTGGACTGTTCTGACTTGAGCAGTCAGTAAAATAAGCAGCACAGTACACTGCACTCACATTTCAGTAATTCCTAAATTGCTATGTCAAAAAATGTAATTCTAAAAAAAATTCCTCAATATTTCCAGTAGCAGAGAATTCAAACTACTGACAAACTGAATTCAAGAGGCACACAAATCCTGAAAAGACATGACTGCTAACTAAATGTCCTACAGCAGGGATAAGAAGTTAGGGTCTGACACAAAATGTGCTCATGACTTTTATACAAAGTAGGAGTTAAGAACAACAGAGTAGAAGAAACTCTATTTTCTTATTTTCATTCTTGAAGTAGAACACATTCACTCAGACACCTGACTTTGAAAGAAAGAATCAAAGAACCTGACCTAAATTACTTCCAGAAGGACGGAATGACAAATGAAAATTTTTATTAACTGTTGTCAGATTATGATATTTGTTGGAACAATTAATGGCATTTCAGGAGTAATTGGGAATGTAATTAGATTTTCAGAGAAGTTTCACAGCTGAACTACTTTCTCAATTCACAACACTGACAGTTTCCTAGTTTCTTTCAACTACACTGCCTTGCCAAGGCTATTGTGAGGGATTTGTTCTTTTTGTAACTGTTAAAAAATTGTGCGTATCAAATGTACATTCATGAGATATCAGTAGTGAGAGAAAAAAAAAAAACTTTCCTTCTGAAAAAATTACCAAACTTTTCTATTGGTTTTCCTAAAGTTACTCAACAAAAACACACTTGAAAAATGATCTGTGTTTTTGAAAGCCTATAATTTTTTTTACACCTGCTATCAATTGAGCTAAAAATATTACACCTCTGTCAACCTGACCTCATTAGAAGCCTTGAAATAAAACTGAAACTGCACACAGAATGTGTGGTGGCCTAACCATCACGATTTTTGTAGAAGGGATTATTACTTTAAGTCTCAAGGCAAGATAAATGGGAAAAAAAGACAAAATCTTAAAAAGGCTAAATGATGTTATGAAGTGTGTAAACAAATAAATAATCTCATGGAGTAGCCTTTTGTCAGGTAAGCTCTCTAAACCTCATCACAGTATTAGATGAGTGTTTGGCAGGACAACAAAATGTGCTCAGAAAAGCTACTTTTATTTGAGTACACAGTTTTACCAGCATTTTGCTCCATGCCATACTCTATGTGCAAAGTCATAACTGTCACAGCAACATGTAATGAAGAAGATGGTCTGTAGTTTTAGATTTACCTTATCTGTCATCCTTTTGTGGAACCTGTAGAATGCACTTTAAAAACCTTGCTTCAAGGACATATTTACCTACCTGAAATTATTTGAAAGAGGGAGTTCAAAGCCAGCTCACCCAAGTAACAAAAAGATCTGGGCTCCCATTCACTCAAGCAGCCAAAAGAAAGAGCTCTATTTCACAGAATTCACCTATAGCTACAACATAGTGAGCAGTCTGTGGTATTTTTAAGTTCCCTCTAAGACAAATCACAACCTTGAAAGGACCTGAAAGTAGTATTAGGTGCCCAATAGAGGCAAAAAGCACCCAGCCTTACCTGACTGTGGTTAATGGCTGCATGGTTGCCATGAAAAGGGGACTGCCTTTCCTTGTCCCGATGATGCCTGCTGCTGTGTTTGCTTCTCTGCAGCTGTTGACGCAATTTTGCAATCTAACAATGGAAAAATTCACATCAGATTTCAACAGGTGTATTCAGGTACACAGGTAATTCCACCCATTTACTCCATCACTTCTTTAAAACTATTTACTACCATAACATTCATAATTACTCCCAGCACTAGATTACACTCAAGTTCTTTCAAACCTAGTATGCTAGCTAGCAGTTCAGCTGACCCTCAGAAGACACCTCCAGAGGTTTAGTGAAAGAACTTGAAATACATAAAATTTCAAAGTAGTGAGGTCACTGCTGTTATTTCCCTCTTTGATAAAAAAATGTCACTTGCATTTAACATTTTCTTTCCCACACATTCAGATTGAAAATATTAATTGACCTGCATTTTTATATTAAATCAATAGCAAATGAAAAGCAATTTCATATTTTTTACTAAGTCCGCCATCTGTATAATTACACAAAGTAGTAAAATACTCGTGCCTTCCTGAAGCATTATGGTAACAGTGCATACCAAAAAAACATTTACACCAAAGTTTTCAAGTAATTTCTGACCTCCTTGAGCTGTTCATTGCTGCCCCACGATGATGAACGTTTGTGTGAACTTCTCTTCTTTTCTAAATATTCTTCAGCCCAGGCACTTTCTGTCTGTAGGAAGAAGATTACAGGACTAATTAAAAAAGGTAATTGCTACTTTCTGGCAGAATATTTGGAGACAAATTAGAAAAGAGAACATTTAAGATATGCTAGATTCAGAACTGAAAATGAACCGTAAGTAACTAGAAGCCTTTCTCACAGGTAAAGTATGAAAAAGCAGAGTGAAACTATATAAATAAAAAACCCCAAACCCACAACTTTCAGACCTAGTGTAATATAGGGATGTGCTAGTTTCCCTTCCAAATGACTGAGCATAAGGCAGTACTCACAGCCAGATGTACCACAGGCTGCTACAGAGCTCTGAAGAGCCACTGTGAACTGGGGGAGATGTTGTATTTCATTTCCTGCACAGATGCTGACCTTGTTATTTCTGAAGCATTAGCAAGGGTGGCTTGGTGTAAGCACTGTGAAAAGCCTGCACCAGCACAGCTTCAAAACCACGTTCTTCCTCTCAAGAATGAGAAGGAAAGCAAGGCATATAAGCACCACTAGAGCTATTGCAAAGTAGGGAATAAATTTATTAATGCCTCAGAGGGTTCCAGGTTCACAGTTGGCCCAGGCCAAGCAGAAAGCAACACACATAATATTAAGCTGGTTTCACTGAGCCATTAGTGTTTAATAAAAAATCTCACAAACATATTGTGATTAAGGAGTTTTGAGACATGCAAGGTATCATTAAGACACACAGTATCTCACGTAAGAAAATGCACAGGCAAGCCTGTGATAATACTGCATGACACTGCTTTATGGGCAGTTTGTATTCCCACCTAGCCACCTCCAGGAATATCTTCAAACACAGCGAACTGTAAAGGCTCTAGAAGACAGATAGTAGCATCTACCAGGAATCTCTGAGCAGTCACAGGAAGTAAGGGGAATAACCTAATGAAGCAAGGGGAAAAATCTCTGGAAGCATTTTACACACTGAAAGAGACAGCAAATTCCTTGAAATTCACTCTTGCCACCAAGCAGTTCTTAGCACACAGTGGTGATCTAGCTAACCTCATTTCCTGGATATCTCACTTTCTCCTACAGAGAAGAACTTTGACTGCCTCAAAGTCTTCACATTTACAGTGTGCCATGGTTGTTCTTACATATGAGACTAACAGCTTGCAGAAGCCACATGCTGACCTTTCCTAGCCCAGCTGCACTTGTATCACAGAAACTCAAGTCTTTTGTGGTATTAATCCCTATTTTGCAGGGAATATGGAGCCTTAACTCCAAATACACAGGTTGCAACCCCACCAGTTTCAGTTACAGACACAAGTTTCATATAAATGAAACCTCCATTATCAGTACTTTTTAATCTTCATCAGTCCAAATCAAAAACTAACTAGGACAAATCTGAAAAATAAAGGTAATAGGGTTGCTTTGAAATTCCTATTTCATAGCAAAATCAGAATCCATTACAATCTGTTTTTCTAGAAAAGCACTCACTGATCTGTATAATCAAATAGAATAATTGATAACCCCCATTCCTAAGCACCAATCTTTGTCTAATCAATTCTCAAATGTCAGTCAGGAGTACCATCCTATCCTCTAACTTCTGGAACAGTAAGCTTTAGCTACTAATTCTAGCTTCCCAACTCAGCACAACCATTACACTTGCCTACAGGAGAATAATTAACACTCTAATTAGTCTTTGCCTTTAATTTATATTCAAGACTTTGACTCAAAATTCAAGAATTATTTAATAAATTAATATCTGATTCATTTTAAAGCATTAAAGTTGCTTTGATGCTCATCCTCAAAACAAATAGTTAGAAATCTTTTCAGATTCAACTATAGGAAACCTGTACATCAAAACAGAAATGCAATACTATTTTAGCAAGTCTTCTGCTATTTATTCCCCAAATTTTGATTGTAATATTTATTATCAAGAAATAGACCAATAACGAATAGGCAAAGTGGGATTTATAGTTCTCTGGTTTCTCGAAGTACTACTACTTGCTTATTAGTTACCATGCACAACATCCTCCCTGCTTTCTAGAATTAAGAAGAAATTAATTTAAGGCTGAATTTATTATGGACAGTAGAACATTTCAGGAAAAAAAAAGTCTTAAGAGACAAAAATTTTCCAGTCAAAATGAATTATTTAAGAATTAAAAAAAAATACAAAGTAATTGTTTCATTTAACTTCTAAGACAAACATGTTTCATTTAAAGCAAAAATGATGAGATTATTAACACCTGTTTTATGAGCACTTAATAAGTGCGGGTATGAATTCTAGCCAGACCCTTGGATGCTCAGTAATACACCTATTCATCATCCAACAACTATTCTCCACGTACAAAATTCAGTCTAGTTTTATAGACAGGTTTCATCAAAATCCTCAGTTGCAGGAGGAGCCTGACAGAGAGACAGTGTCTGCATGACCTGGGGTCTCTTGCACAGCTCTCAGCCATGACCCATGGCCATCTCTAGAAAGGCCTGCAAGATGCAGTGTGCCACTAAATGCTGTCTCTTCCCAGTCTGCTTCCTGAATAACTCCCTGTGCCATAACTCCACACAATCAAGACACCCTGCTTACTCAACTTGAAAGCCTTTTATAACATTGCCAATTAAATTCCTGTTCTCAGAATCAGAACACATTCATTTCTTGTCAGACTTTGTGAAATCTGAAGTTACACACACTGGAACCAGAGTATCTCATCAGTGAAACTTCATCCAAATACGACATTTTCAGAAAAGCTGAACAGTACAAATGGGCAGCCTCATTTATCGTAGGAAACTAACCATTTTAAGTCACATTTTAAACTTGTCTCTGGCTCCACTGGCTGCTCTCAGGAAGATTAAAAGCAGTAATACCTCATCAGTGTCATATCAACATCAGCTTTGGACATACAGATGTATGTCTGTAGCCCTAAACTTTCTACTGGTTTGATAAATTCTAAATTAGGAAGTGCAAACAGATCATTCTAGTTCTCACAGAAATACACTACTATAAATCACCACTAAATATACTCACTGTGCAGAAATATCTAATGCCCTTTATGGTCTTCCCACTAACCCTTCAACTACATTTCCTCTACAAAAGCCCCACTACCACAGCAGTTAGATGTGTCAGAATTGGAAGAAAAAGCCAAAAGCAAACCACAAGCCAAAAAGGACGATATCTGGAAAATACAGATTATGAAAGCCTAACCATGATGCAGATTATATCAAAACTAACCTGAATGAGATCAGCTGAACATAGCAAACACTTTGGCAGCAGTAGAGAAATACAATTATTTTGAGGAATCATATATGAAGATAGTTAGGACACCCATACGGGTTTAGTTCTGCCCTTTAAAGATGCCTTTTAATAGCTAGGCACAAACAGCCACTCATATATCACATACCTTTCTCCATCCTCCTCCTCTTACTTCAATCTGCTTACTTTTTTCACCCTGTCTTCTAACCGTTTTTCTAATTTCTTCTCCTGCAGATAAAACTTGTTCCTCAAATCTTTTCTTCTTCACCAGCTCCTAATTCCACCTTATCCACATGAACCTATTTCCCTACAAAACACCTTCCTTCCCCACTGATTCGCTCTTTGAATAGTGGTCCTTCCCACAAAAGGCTGAGGACCTCAAAAAGGCCCCACAGTAACACTGCAGACCTCATCTGCTCAACCCCCTACACCTTCTTAAACACTGAAGACTATATGGACACATTTTTTCTACTGTTACCAAACCTAACAGGGGTTCAAACACAAGGATGTCCCACATGCTGTGAGGTCCTCTTCCAACTGCATTCTGCTTATGTTCTTTGGAATTAGAAGAGACTTCTTGTTGAAACCATGTTCCAGGAACAGGGATTTCATTCAATTGTTTGCTGGTTCCGTTTTTACAGGTGGCATGGGACTGAACCTTTAGAGCTTGTGAAATTTGGTTAAGCAGGTGATGTTTATTGGCAAATCATGTATTTTTTTAACACTTTCCAGTTGAACTAGATTTCAACACTATTCACAGTTCAAGGAGGCAGTTCTTCAATGCATATAATTCTATACTTGGTGCACAAAACCCAGGTGAACATTACGGGGCTTTTACAAACAGAGGATGAAGAGCTGGAGACAGACATACATATAAGGATACCTCACTAAGTTCTCTATATAAATCTGAAGTAAACAGTACTTAATTCCAGCCTATCTAGTGTACTGCACCCTGTAAGAACAATAAGAATACAGATGTACCATGCAGTACTGTTTTCCTGAGGCAAGAAGGAAGCGGAACACCTAAAAGATACTACAGTTCTCAGTCTTTACTTAAAGAATGCAAATAATTCACACATGCAGTAGCAAAGGTAGGATTCCTGCAATTTGAAAGTGAATAGGAACTTGTGAGCAAGAAAGCTAAAGTGAACGTTTTCAAGGGAAAAGCTTCTTACATTTAAATCCTGTCTTCACACTTAAGTGCTCCAAAGACAACAAACCCATGTCCTACCTGTGTGGCCTTGTCTCTCATGCAGGGAGCAGCGTGTCCGTGATTATCCCGAGGCCACTGCCCAGCGAGGTACGGAGCAGCGAGCGTATCCAGTGAAGAGGTGCGGCGAACAATGCTGGAAGGGCTTGATGAAGGGGGTCTTGATTTGTCTGTTGGAGCAAGAACATTTGATTACAAAGAAATCGAGAGAGAGAGCTTATCCATTTAACAGTCTACAAGAAATCATATCAAATTGGAACTATGTTATTATGTACACAACAAGATACTTTCAATATTGAAAGTAAGTTTGCTTTTCCAGGCTCTATTCTGTTTGAATAGGCTTGAAATCTGTTTTTATGGTTTCCTTAAAAACATCCTTGTGTCACAAATGTTGCATTAGTGCTTACACACCACTATTTACTCCTTTAAAAGTCTAACAGTCATTTGTCTCTTAAATGATGAAAGTGTAGAAGAAATAAAAATAGGTATGTTTACACATAAATAAAGGTTAATGAAGAAAAACTGGGTTGAACTTTTTCAATTTAATGCTGAGCTTACAGTTCTTCCCACTAGTCCTTCACCTACATTACTTGAAGGGACACTATAAACCTGCATGTTTTAATCACCCAGCAGATGACACATGGCATAACCCTTAGATTCAGAAGTTCACTTGGTAATGTAATGATTTACATTTTACAAGCTAATTGAGACATCTCCTCCCTTTACATGGTAACTACATTCATATTTGCCTGCTGCTGTATCTTCTGCAACACCTCATCTGTAGTGTATATACTGGCATCCTATTTCAGAACAATTTCAATACTAAGAGGAATCCTTATTTAAAAAGGTTAAATACAACAATCTTTGGAAGTAACATGAGAAGGAAGACTACTGTTAAAAATAAAAATTTGTATCTATCCCATCTGTCAATGATGTCTTAAGTAAAGTGGCATAAAAGACTACACCACAAGCTATGAAGAATAAACACTGAAGAAAGTTTCCTCAAAACAGTAACCGAGGTTGGTAAATTTAAGAGATTGATAAGCAACGATGACCCAGGGTTTAGATATACATACACGTTCACACATTTTGAGATGAAAAATACAAATCCTAAGCATACTATCATCTCATCTACTCCCCACAAAAATAATTCCAATTATATATGAAATAATTGTGCATTAATCTTACCTATAATTCATAGAAAGTCCTGAAATACATGGCTACAACACAGCAAGCAAGATTCAGAAATCAGATGGAAGCTTTAAAAAAGGGCATTGCAAAAACTCAGTCATCTGTCCTCTCTAGCTGTGCCTTAGCATTAATTCTGCACTAAAAGTATTTGTATTATACATAAACTCATTTACAGGCAAAGAAAATTGGGCCTAATTAGTGTCTGAATGCTAGTCAGCCAATAAAAGCATTAACACCAAAAGTCCAAAATTCAATTTCTAAGCTGTTGCAATCTACTAAAAATACATATGAGAAATATTAATAAAATATGTTAGATATAGATTTCAGTGGAGTGGACAGAACTTAAGTCTAGTGACATTCTACATTAAATAGCCTCATGCAAATTTATTAGAAATGTACACACTAAAAATGTGGAAAATATTTCAATTCAACTTTAAGGAAACAATTACTGGCACTATAATCAGCCAAACTCACACAAAGCAGTCAGGAAACCTCATCTCCTTTATTATTTCTACAAGTACCAACAATGTACAACCTTACTAGTGAGCTCATAGCAGATTTGCTCTCAGGGTGTAGCAGCAAACATGTTTTGGAGTTTGCACTTAAGACTCCTGTATCAAAGAAATTCTCTGACTACTACTACCACCACACAGCACACTGAAGGGTCTGTTTGTATCAGATGACTTCAAAACTATTCCCTTTGTGTGTACTATAGGACAATGTGGCATGCTAACACAACGTGCCATTCCTTAAAAATTACACTGGCTTCCAAAGTTAAATCAAACATGTCATTTGTCTTAGAATTAGCTGCCATATCTGCCCTGTTTTTCTTCTCAGTTATTATTCTTCCTCTTCAAGAAGCTTCTCTCTTCTTACCAAGGGGAAACAGAAAGGATGTGAAAAAAAAATTATAAATCAGGAAGTGTACGTAGTCAGCCACATCATCTGCAAAAGCCACTGCAGCAGACAGCTTCAAAACTGGAGAAGCAGAATCTGTTACTCTCTCCTCCCTGCCACAAACAAAACAAAAAGCAACTGGAAGACTATTTTGCTGAACAAACAGAGAGAATGAGAACTGAAGAGCCTGTTTACTATTTAAGTTCAAGGGGAGCTGCTCATTTCAAGGCACAAAGGCTGTAAATACTCCCTTTTCCCCTAATTTAAAGAAATTCTGTTTTCAAATGATTTATATTTAGATGGGGAATGATGTTTGGACATGTTTTTACTTTTCCACCTTCTCAATATGTCTTTATATGAATTCACAAAGTCTACTACACAATTCTTACTGTTTCAAAACATTTCAATGGGAACATATACAATGTTTTCATTGCACTTTCCCCTACAATACTTGAAGCAAGTGTTCAGCTGCTATTTTTCCTTGATGTGACCTACATAACAAGAGATCTGCCTCCACAGAGATAACAGTTACAACAGCTGTGGCTGATGAAAAACAATGGAGCTGTTTCATCAAATAGACACTTCTTAAATATTCGATCTCTTTTAATTGGCCTGATTATCTCTCTAAACCAGTATTTGTGATAAATATCAACCCTCCTATCCATCCACCACTAGTATAGATTTATTTAGAAATTAAAATCTTTCTGCAATCCAGTCTCAAGCAAAGCAAACGAATAGAACAAACCCAAGGCAAACATACAGAGCACAGATCAATGAAGTCCACAACATGGGGAAATAACAAGCAAGCTGCCACATCTTCACCAGTCACTGCTGTACAGGTGACCAACACAAGCTGCTACAGGTGACCTGGTATCACACACACCACCTCCTGCAGAGCAAAGGCACCTCCAAAGGCAGCAGAAGTTCAGGTGCTCTAACAGTGGGACTGAAGAGCAAAACTGAACAAATATAATGCTTACCAATAACTAACTGAAAGATATGAAAGAAACCAAGAAACATAATCTAACACATACTGTGAGAAAACAAGCAGCAGAAAAGCCCAGGATCCCACTGAACTCACAAAATTCCCTGACAGTTCCACTTGAGGCTTTTTTAATACAAATGGGCTACTCAAAATAGTGAGAAGAGGTGAGACCCAGCTCCTCTGGCATCAAGGCATACAGCTGACCTTTTTGTTCTGTTTTGGTCAGGCTTTTCCCCAAGAAGGACATTGATGGGATCTCTCCCATACACAGCTGGCACTGTCATCTTTTCCAGAACTGCAACTGATCTCTGGGGCTTCATCTGCTTTTCATGTTTCATTAAAAGAACTGAACAGACTCAGTGCACTAAGAACAGACACACCACCCAACTGTGTATACTCCCTTTGGAACATAATCTTGCCTATCATCCTCGCATAAATCTGAAGAGAACTATTCACTAGTAATTCAAAATTGTTCCACTGCAGCAGAATGACAGAATTAGTGGTGTTTTACAAAACCAAACCTCAGAAAGCCCAAGATGTTCAAGCTACTTAACTCTAAGAAATGAAAGTATTTTTAATCCCAATAAGTGCACTTCCCTAAAGTGCTTGCCACAAGAAACATACAGTATGATGCTGCAAGAATGACTTCACTTTCTTTACTCCTACCATTTGTCAAACAGCTTAGGCAAGCAGAGCGGGAATGTAATGTTACACAAAGTCTTCTCTCTTATTCCACAGTAATATCTTTCAAAACTACTGCAAAACCTTGGTCATTGAGGTTGACAGGTCTGCAGCTACACAAGTAGGCTTTAATATTACCCTTCCATAGACAAAACAACTAAGTTTTCCTCCAACTAAAACTAACCAGCTTTTCTCCTTAATTTTCAGACTGAGTTTAGATGTCCAATACAGTTAACTGGAATATACCAGAAAGTCCAGCACCCAGCAAAGAACTCTCCCACTACCTCAAGGCACCTGAAAGCAAACAACTGCTAAGGCTCTGGTCTTGACCTTCTTGTTTACTCAGCCGGGTACACTGTAACATTCTTGCAGCTGAGCAGTTCAACTCCTCTAAGATGTGTTTCATATAAGGACACAAATAACAAGATCCCATTAGATCTCTACTCAGTGAATAAACCAAGGCAAAAGCAACCAAGATAGAGAAGTGTGTAAGGTCTAGCTCATGTTACAACAGTGTACTGGTAGGTCAAAACAATGGCCTCTAATGGGAGGCTTGCAGACAGCTGAAGAGGCACATGGGAAAACTGAACCAAAACTGGAGATTGCAGGACAGACATCGCAGTGCAGAAATGAGGCCTCAACAGAGACGGGAAGGGCAGAACACATTAACAGGCAATTGGAAGCTGAATTCTGGGAAAGAAGTGCTAGAGACTGCAGAAAGGCAAAGTAAAAGATGAAAAACAGGTAGTAGCAAGATCTAGGTTTCTGGTCATATTTAGGAGGGAGAGAAGTGGCAAGAAAAGCATGGAAAATCAGAAATTGTATGACAGAATCTTCCATTTGTAATTATCCCATAGTCAACAGAAAATTCAGTTGAGTATTTCCAACATTTAATTGCAATTCAGATCAGAAAACAAGGGCTAAAAAAACCTCCAAAAAACACGCCCAAACCCCAGAAAAGTCACATTTGTAAATTCACAAGTTGGGGTTCTCAAGTGTAAAGCAGATTCATGAAAACTAAGTTCAAAACTATTCAACTGTTTCCCAGGAAAGAAAATCTGAAAAATATGAAACTGACTCTGAAGTATACAACTTATATTTAAATACAACTTAAACTTAGATAGAAACAGTATCTAAGGTCAGAAAAAGCTATCATTTGTCTAACCTCAAGGTTCATTTTCATCTAAAGAAAGACGCCTGCAGCTGTAGGAATGAACTAAAGCCATCATTAACTGAGAGCAAGAAACAGAAAAACCCAAGTTATTCTGCAGCAGATTCTCACCAATACCCTCAAACGTCCTGTGTGTCTGCACAACCATTGCCTCATTAGTAAAAAAAGTTCCACCTCCACGTTCTCAGCCAACCCTGTTTACTCATTTAGATGAAGAAAAAACCTGAAATTAACTGAGCCTCTATCAAGCACTGGACTACACAATACAAACGTTAAGCAATAAGAAAGAGGTTTAACTTGCATTTGGGGCCAGTACAAGTACTGCCTAGGAACTGGAACATGTGGAAGCAATTAAATGGACACCACTCTTCTGTTTTCACACATCTTGTAAAAAGCTAGTGGAGTTATCTTAACACAGGAGAGTGATCCAATGACTTCTTTCCTTATACATGTTAATTCTCCAAAGCAGTAGAGAGGCCAGCATGGTTTCAGCAGGCTTCTCCACAGTGACTAAAAGACAGTGCAACTCTTCCACCCTAAGTGGTCAGACACATGCCTTTACAAACAGTTTTTGAACCTGGACCTCAAGGCTAACCATACTCTTCCTCATTCTCCAGGCCAGCAGATTGCATCAGAAGAAGACAGGGTTTGTGATATGTATAATGTCTTTCAGGTTACTGATTAACAAGAACCTCAAATGAAGAATACACACATTCCTCAATCCAAAGCCTTTAATATAATACAGCCTTAATAAAACCCTCATTACTCTTATCTGGAAAGTGGAAAATCTAACTCATAACCTTATCAGTCCTCTCTTACACTAGCAGACTAGGAGGCACACAGTCATCTTGTACCAACTGGTTATGATTGTCTCATTTGGCAGTACCACTCCTCAAAAGCTAGGACAGGAAAAAAGAAAAAACCCAGCGTGGTAGACTGGTTACAATCATTATTTTAGAAAGGGGGAGGAGTATTAGGAGAAGCAGAAGTGTTAAAGGGAGGGCTAGTCCGAGATTTCCACATGTACACTTCTGCATATTAGTCAGCTTTACTCTTTAGATTACCACAGGCAATTTCATGGAAATGAGTAGCTGCAAGCTTTGGTATCCTAAAAGTAACAGATTTGAGGACATTAACACAAAACCTCACTGATGCATTTTTGAGTAAACTTTTAACCCAAAAATAAAAACGACTTACATATGTCAGCCTCTATTATCCTCAGCCTGATGCCTTATATTACTTATATTCAAGCATTCCCAGTAAGATTTAATTATTCAGGAAGTTAAAATGCAGTTTGTTACAACCTCTAAGCTATCACCACGCTATTTTCTATCTTCACTATAGCACAAGCTTGTCATCACTCTCAAGCACACACGTCCTTCTGCAGGGTTCATGTTGAAAGCAACTACTAAGAGAGACATTGAATACTTTTGTTCTACACCTATGTGCCATGCCTACAGCACTAGTTGGTTCTTTAATTACAAGCTGAGGGACACTGTTTGGATAACACCACATACACCATCTGGCACGAGGTGTGCAGAAAGAGTAAATGCGAAGGCTTCACAACAGCCCCCAAACACCAAATCCACCTTAAGTTTGCGCGCAAGCACCTTAAGTACATCTACACCCCTGAATCCGAGGCAGTACTCGCGGTACTACAGAAGCGGTCACAACCCCCACATGGCACGCTTGGCTCTCTATTCCTCTTCTGAAAGCCAGGGCGCAACAGAGCAGCAACAAAAGCAACGAGCCCTTCCACGCACACACACCCGGCAAGCCCTGCCGCCGGCCAGAGAAGGGGCAGGGCGAGCACCAGCCCGGGCACAGCCCCGTCCCTACCTCTGCCCCGGGGCACGGCACGCTCCAAGGCACCGCCGGCCCCAGCCCTGCACCCGCGCCCGGCCGGGCGGCCCGGGACGTGCCCTCTGCCGCTGGCCGGGACCCCCCGCCGCTCACCTTTGCAGACGGGGGAGCTGGGACTCTTCCTCTCTGGGGAGCTCCTGCCCGGCTCCGGCGACTGCCGCCGGTGGTGGTGCCGGACCCTGCCCTCCGGCAGCGGAGGCACCGGCGAGGAGCAGGGCGAGGGCCCGCTGCCCGGCGGCGGGGGCGGCGGCGGCAGGTGGTGGTGCCGCGGGGGGCTGCCCCGCGCCCCGCCATGGCCGCGCGTGGGGCTGCCCCGCGAAGAGGCGGCGCCGCCGCCGCTCCCCGCTCCCCCCGGCGGGGCCGTGGCGGGGCCTCCGCGTCCGCCGCTGCCGGGGGGCGCCGCGCGTGGGAGCCCCGCTGCCGGGCCGCCACCGCTCCTCGTGGGGCTGCCATGTTGTTGCTGCTGCTGCTGCTTGAGCTGGAAGGGCACCGTGGCCCGCATGGGCTGGAGGCGGCTGCTCGCTCCTGCTGCTCCGCCGCCCGCCGCCGCCGCGCCGCCTCCCCCCGCCAGGGAAGTAGCGGGGGTCGGGGAGCCGCCGCGCCTCACGCGCTGGTGGGACATTGTCCGTCGGGAGCCGGGGCTCGCGGAAGGCGGCCTGAGGCGGGGCAGAGAGGGAAGGGTGCGAGGCGCGGGCCGCACCTCGCGGGGTCCGACGCCTCAGGTGGCGGTGGCGGCTGCGGCCGCCCCAGCCCCGTCCTGGTTCCCGTCCTGGTTCCCGTCCCGCTCCCGTCCCCTCCGCGCCGCTGCGCCCGCAGCCTCCGTGCGCCTCATCAACAATAGTGCCCCGGCCGCGCGCCCCGCCCACCGCGCCCTCCCATTGGGCGCGGCGCCGCTCGGTTCGCGCAGCTACGGCGCGCCCATTGGCTGCGGGGCGCGCGCCTGAGTGGCCGAGCCCGCGCGGGGCCGCGGGGGGGCGCGGGGCGGGGGCAGCGCTTAAAGAGCCGCACGCGGGCGGTGGCGGGGCCGCGCAGCCCCGGCGGGAATGGGGCGCGCTCCCGACTCCCCCTCACGCCCGGCCGCCGCCGCCACGGGCAGAGCTGCGGGCTGGCGGCGGCTGCCCCGCCTCTCGGTCCTGTTCTGAGGGACCATTATCCCTACTCCATCATTCCTAGCCCGAGGTGCGCTCCAGGAGGGGACGGGGCTCCACTGCGGTTTATCCAATCGCTTTGCCACCAGCTCGGTGTTACCGATGATGGCACCAGAGACGTGGGCAATATCCAGGCAGACTTGACCCTCTTTTCCCTTAACTGCTGTGTTTACTCTCCTCCGTTAGGTCAGATTAGTTGCATCTTCATTGTAATCTTTTAATAATATTCGTTAACTGCTGGTATCCACTTAAACAAATTTATACATCAGAGCAGTGAATGAGTGCATGGAACAGGCCTTAGTTCATGTGTTTGGTTGTTTAGATGCAAGGTAAACACATGTTAGTACCCTCAACACGAGAAAGAATCAATAAACCTTTTTTCTGTCTCTATCGCAAATGCCTTCTGAGTTACCAGTACTTACACAAATTTTTTTCAATAATGCTGTACAAGTTGCATGTTTAAACTGAAAAGCATTGCTATGATACAAATGGTGTGACAACAATTTACATATTGGTCTCTGTTCATCTTGGTTGGGCTTGGGTTTCTTTTTTTCCTCTCTCCTTTGCTGTTTCTGATTGAAGCCCACTTCACTCAAAAATCCCTAATTCCCCTTTGAAGAGCTGTGGCTGACAAGTAAAACAAACCTGAAAATCAAGACACTGGCCCTTCTTAATGCCTGGATACTGGCCTGCCTAAAGCCTTGAAGGGTAAAGCTCTTGTTAGAGTCAAGAGCTGCTTGTGAGGAATCAGACTGGCAAAAGAGAACAGGACAGATGTAGTGATGAGGCTGTTGTGAAGTAAGCTCTTGCATTCTGGATTAATTACATTTATTTTGAAAGGCATTATGCTCTCTCACAAGTACTGTAAGTGCTAATATTATGGCCTGAAGGAGAGCTGCAAGGGTCAATCAAAACCTTCTGCAAAAGGTTGTGCCCAGTCTCAAGAATTACCCTGTGCTACCCCTGAAAGTGGCTGCCAAGTGAAGGCGCCAGAAGCCCGGCAGATCACCATCAGCCCTATTGTATCCCTTCCTTCAACTGTGCAATTTACTTGTTACCTTGTAAATTACACACAGGGACACTTCCCAGTCATTTTCCCGCAGCCATCATGAGCGCTGTTGGTACAATGTGGCAAGGCATCAAAATCCCGGATTCCCCATCATTAATGAAATATCTGGGAGACAGTGTTCTCCTCACTGGGAATGGCTGAGAGACAGAGAACAGTATAAGCTGTGTACTCCATCATTGGGGATGAAGGGATCTTGCAATTCCCTCAGTGACTCCATGTACATATTGAAAAAGAGAACATCAGCTTTAAAGCTCTCCACAGGTAAATACCCAGGAGGTAGAAAACCAGCACCCAGCATGTCTGGAGAAATAAATGGAACCTGTCTGCTGCTTTGTCCTTCAGTAGTTTCTGTGACTCATCTGTGGGGCAACACAGCAGAATAAATTTTTGAGAAGGGGAAGAAAATAGTTCAAATCTTTCTGAAAGCCCATTTTGCCATAACACAAAGCAAGGTCAAGAGACAAGGAGAACAAGTTTTTAGGAACTAAATGGCAAGATGACATCATCAGAACCCAAGGGATGTAATCAACAAATAACAGCTATGTTTTCACCAACTAGTAAAACACCACAGCTAGAGAACAGCCCTACCTGGAGCTGCTGGCAGAAAGCACCAGGGGAAATGTTGACTTTTCAGCTTCTCACCCAGTCCCACCAGCAAAGAGGCTGGGGGGCACAAGAAGCTATGGGGACACAGGCAGGACAGCTGAGCCCAACGGGACAGTGGGATGTTCTGCACAAGCTCAGCATGTGAATGAGGGGGAAAGCTGGCTGGGGGCTGCTGCTCAGGGACTGGCTGGGCAACTGCAGTCTGCATCACTTGCTTTCTGTGTTCTTCTGTTATTGTTATCTATATTATATACATATGTAATGTCTACTATATTATATTAATATCTATTATCACCATCATATGCCCTATCAAACTGTATCTCAACCCACAAATTTTCATTTTTTTCCCCCTCAGTTCACTTCCCCCACCCACTGGGAAAGAGCAAGCTGTGTGGGGTTAACCTGTCAGCTGCCTGACAGGTTAAACCACAGCAGCAGCCCAGAACAGTGCAGTTATCCTAAAGAAGGTTAATTTATACAGTGTTTGTTTCACTTCTTTGCTGAAATTTTCAGTCAAGAGCAGAAGATGCAGTTCTTCCCTCTGAGTGGGTGATAGCACCCACTCCCAGCACCTGTGCAGTTGTGCAGCAGACTTTCATCCCAGTTTACACTTATCAGAAATATTGGGAAGCAGTTTCTCCCAATACTTGCAAGGAGTATGCCAAAAAGATACCTCTGAAGCACAAAATATTCTGCGTGCATTCTCACTCCTGTTACTGTTTTGAAGAGGCCAAAGTGACAGGTACTGATTCATATTTATTTTCATGCTGCATGCTATGGAGCCAAGTCACGACTTTGATTGCAGAAGATACCTGTTACAATTATAGATAGTACTTCCCACATTATTGTCACACTGCAGAGATGACACTGCTCCACAAAGTAGCTGTGAGAATATAAAGCAAAGCATTTATGTGCACTGCTCATCATCAGTTGTGTTGCTCTGCACGCAGCAGACGTGAGAGCTCGACATGTAAAGTCATGTACGCAGCCCTACTCAAACACCGTGTACTTCTTACATTCATTTGTTTAAACTGTAACAAATGTGTTACAACAGGATCTTACTCCTACACCTTATGGAAATAATGGAAAGAGCTAAAGCAGGATTATGAACTTGAAAATAGTTTTGAAACTCATTTTCAATTACAAAATAACCCAAAACCTCAAAACAAAACCCCAGCCCCAGATAACTTGGATCCAGATCCCCCAGACTCTCCTTGCAATTCACACCTCTCAGGCTCTGGATTTCTTTCAGCTGTCACCTTCCTTTCTGCCTGCACACTTTGCCAAATGCTGTGCAGGCCACCTCTGAGCAACACATTTCTTATGGTTTCATGTGGAACCTCTAGGCTGCGCTTTCTTCAAATCCATGACACTCTAACTCTGGCCACAACACCTAATGTAATGGTGCCAGTAGTGATCCAAAAAACAGGAATGAAACTCCTCATCACCACAGAGGCTGTGAGCCTTCTACCTTCAGCATGTGCATCTGCCTTTTAGTGACCACAGTCACTTCAGTGACTCCAAATGCCCTGGAGTGACATGTGACCCCATGTGCACAGGGCCCATCTCCGTATCTCCAGCTCCTCCCCGCCTGGGAATTTCTATCAACCCACTGGCCCTGGTGCTCACACAGCAGGCTGCAGTGCCACCCCAGGAGGTGGTAAGCACTCCCACATCCCACTGGCTTGGAGGCCCTCAGCACCCATTCAGAGTCCTGCCAAAACATGCTGCTCTGTACTCAGTGCTGGGAGATGAAGCCTGGCTGTGGCAGAGAGCCCCTTGTGTGCAAGCTGTTGGCTCTTCCTTAAAATACGGCCTGTGGTAAATGCTGCAGATCCAAACAAATCAATCCAAAGGCTGAAGCATATTGAATGCCCTCAAGGGCAGACTGATCAAACACTCAGAGCTGCATGAACAAATCTGGAACCTGCTGAAAGCAGGGATGTAAACAAGTCAGGCAACTGTTCAACTGCTAACACCAAATGAAAAGCAGAGAAACAAGGGTCAAAGAGGTTTAACTAAGCTGAGAGGCCCAAATCCCACTGCACACCTAATAAAACAGATAATACTTAGGGAGTTTTCTGGTACTACAGACTGAAAATGTGTGAGTAGTACTGCTCACTGCTCATAATAATATCTATGAAAAATGTTCTGTTAAAATAATAGTAATAATAGTAAACCTTACAGAAAATGACTGTACTTCAAGCAGCTTCAAATATGCTATTGACTTATTCCAAAATTAAATAAATGCAAAGCAGCACATGTAGAGGAGCAATCTACTGCCTGAAATTGGTTTTTTTAACCTACAGTTAATGTAAGCAATATTGAAGGTTGAAAGACTAAAGATTCTGGGAGTCTAATCTAAACATTGGATTATGCCTCAGGATATTTCATTGCATTTCTCATCTCTCTCCTGCAGAGTGAGTTTGTTTTGCTTGTTTATGTGGGTGTTGAACATCAACTGGAGAAAAAGACATTTAAAAAATAGGACAAATATAATAGAATTTACTTCACACAAAACCTGTAAGAGCCTAGTTAATATTCCAGAAAATCTGTGGGGATTTGAGAAGGCAAACAGATTGAAATAAGGTATTAAGATTAAAACAATAAAAAACAACAGATGGGACCTTGGACATAAATCAAACTCCCTGCAATAAGAAAAATGCAAAATGCACTTCTGTCACATTTTTAAAGGTACAATCTTTAAGAAAAGTTGTCATAGAAATAACATTCAGAGGCTTCAGTTCCTCACTGGCATTAAGATAACACATTTTTGACAAAGAAACTCAGTTCTCAATG